AGTCTTTTCACGTTTAAATATTCTGCTTTTCCATTCTCCCCAAAGAGGTCAGGCTCATGTTTAACAATTTGTTTGCGCACACAGTCTATTCATCTCTTTACCTTACATGAAATTCAGGATTATGTTAGTTCCAGAATGCAAAGCAAATGCTTATATTTAACATGAAATAAACGCATTAGCTAACTTGCCAGTCTCTATTTTTGCTGGTTTCACCAATTTTCATCCATGACTTTCTAGCTTTATAAGCTTCATTTACCTCTTTTATGCAGTTTGGAAGCCAATTTTCTTTGCATTCACTTACTTTCAGCATTTGTATTTATTTTTTGCTTTGCTCTAACGCTTTTTGCTTTTCAATTTATTTGTCTGTATTCCTGTTCAATCATTTATAATTTATTTCCTTTTTCACTGTTCAAATTAGTAGAACATATGTTCAGTACAGTTGTTGCATAATGCTTGCAGAGGAATGCAGTTAGCGGTTTAATTTCAAATGCATTATTTGGGATCCACCACATAGGCAAGATATTAGTTTTCATTCCTTTCCCACTCCGCTATTTCCTTTGAAGAGGTTTTGTCACATCATCTTGTCAGGGCTGGTGCCACTTTGCATCCTTGGTTGATATCATCTGTGTATTCAATTCGGGCAAGGCTCTCCACCGAATACCAGGAGATTTTCCACAGTTACAAAAGGTTTTAGAGAAGGTAAGTGCTTGAAAACCTGTGCACAAATGGGCTGAGAATTCAGGATTTTCATTAGAACAATAAATACAGACAAAAGTACATGTCCTGAAATTAATGCATGAAAACATCTGTGCCAAGTGATTAATGAAACTGTGAATATGTTACCTTTCTATTCCTAATGTCTGCAGTTATCAATTTATTGCAAATTTAGGCTCCACATTCACTTCAATTGTACTTTTCCATTCAGAAACAAAAGCCTCCCTATTCCAGTTTGAATCTGTTAGGAGATTCCCGAGCATTTCGTTGGGAATACTTTTCAGCCTCAGGCAACTAGCATCAGCTCCTGCTTCAGGCTAGTGGTAGAAGACAAAATGTTTTTACATGACACCTTTACAGCTCAAAGTTTTTGAGAAGATTTGTAGCTTAGGTTGTGGATCAGGCTGCAGACTTGTTCACCGAGCTGGTGTGTTTGATTGCAGACGTTCATCACCCTGCTCCGTAAACATCATCAGTGCACCTCCGGTGAAGCATTGGTGTTCTGTCCCGCTTGTAATTTATATGCCTCGGTTTCCTGGGGTGGTTGGCATCACTTCCAGTTCTGTTTTTCAGTGGTTTGTGTATCGGGTCCAGTTCAATGTGTTTGTGGGTGGAGTTCTGGTTGGAATACCAGGCCTCCAGGAATTCCCTGGCATGTCTCTGTTTGGCTTGTGCTGTTATGGACGTGTTGTCCCAGTCAAATTTGCGTCCTTCTTAGTCCACGTGTATTGAGACCAGTGAGAACTGGTTGTCTCTCTTGGTGGCAAGTTGGTGTTCGTATATCCTTACTGTCAGTTTTCTTCTCACCTGGCCTAAGTAATATTTCTCAGTCCTTGCATGGTATTTTGTATATTACGTTAGTTTTATTGGGTGTGGGTATGGGGTCCTTTACATTCGTCAGTAGCTGTTGCAGGGTGGCTGTTGGTTTGTGGGCTACCCTGATACTTAGGGGTCTGAGTGTTCTGTGGTCATCTCTAATAGGTCTATCTCACATCAGGGACATATCAGAGATGACCACAAGACCACTTAGACCCCAAGGTAACAGGGTAATCCACAAACCAACAACCACACTTTGTCAGTAGCTATCACATGTTAAGGAGCCCATACCCACACCCAGTAAAACTAATGTAATATACATGCAAGGACTGTGAGAAACATTACATAGGCCAAGCTAGAAGAAAACTGACAGTAAGGATACATGAACGCCAACTAGCCACCAAGAGACATGACCAATTCTCACTGGTCTCAAAACACACGGACAAAGGAGGACACAAATTTGACTGGGACAACACATCCATAATAGCACAAGCCAAACAGAGACATGCCAGGGAATTTCTGGCATTCCAACCAGAACTCCATCAACAAACACATTGAACTGGACCCGATACACAAACCACTGAAAAACAGAACTGAAAGTGATACTAGGAAACCGAGGCATATAAATAACAAGCAGGAAAGAACACCAACGCTTCACCGAAGGCACACTGATGATCTTACCTAGCAGGGTGACCAAATGTCTCAAATCAAACACATGGGCTTGGCGAGCAAGTCTACAACCTCACCTTAGCAGCTCTCTCAAATATCTCAAAAGATTTAACATTATAAAAAAATTCATATTACATCTCAGAAGAAATGAGAGCACAAGTAGCATATTCAGTCCATCTAGACAGTTCTATGATTCAACAGCATCATGGCCATGACTCCATTTCCCTACCTGGCCCATAAACCTCAACTCCCTTGTCAACCAAAAATCTAACTCCTTCATAAATATATTCAATGACTCAGCCTCCACTGTTCTAAGAAAAATAATTCTAAAGATTCACAACACTTGGAAGGTTTGCCTCATGTCCATCTTAAATGGAAGATCCCAAAGTTGTATCTCCTAGTTCCCCACCATAGGGAAACCCTCCCAGCATTCACTCTAACAAAATCACTTCAAATGTTTCAAAAAGATCACCAACTGAACTGGAATATTCATATCAATTCTATGGCAACATTCACTCCCTCCACCACAATTAGTAGCAGCACTGTACACAATCTACAAGATGCACTGCATAAATTCACCCAACAGTCTTAGTCAGCACCTTCCAAACCCACAACCACCATCTAGAAGGACGAAGGCATCCGTGACATACCATCTGCAAGTTCCCCTCCAAGCCACTCACTGGAAATATACTGTCATTCTTATCAGTGTTGCTGGGTCAAAATCCTGGAATTCCCTCCCTAATGGGACCATGTGTACCAACAGCAAATGGACCGCATCAGTTCAAGACTGCAGCTCACTGACACCTTCTCAAAGGCAATTAGGGATGGGCAATAAGTGCTGGCCCACCTAGTAGCACTCACATCCTATGAATGAATTTTTAAAAAAATCTCAACTCCAATGAGAATAGGACTCACCCTGCTCAACCTTTCCCAATGAAAGAAACCCATCATCTTAGGAATCAGCCAAGTGAATCCTTTCCAAACTGTTTCCAATGCAATTCTCTCTCTCAAGTCAATGGTATGACTCCAGATGCACACTTACTGATTCCCACATAGTTGTTAATAAAACTTTCCCTACTTTATTACAAGGAGAGTATAAGAGGATAGCATTCTATTTGCCATCCTAATTACATGATGAACCTGCAAAGCAGCTTTGTGATTCATGTAAAGGACAACCAGCTGTTTCTGTACCATGAGTTTCTGAATTTCCACTCCAATTAAGTAATATTCTGCTCTTCTATCCTTCCAACCAAATTATATCCCACTTGCCAAATTTTTGCTATCTATATCATTTTGTAAAATTTGTTGTCACAACTTCCTTTCCTATTTTTGTGTCTTTAGCAAATTTAGTTACCAGTCATCAACGTGGATTGTAAATAGCTGAAGATCCAGCACTGACCCCTGTAGCATCAATTTGCTGAATCTAAAATGACCCATTTATCCTGACACCTTGCAGCCTAAGAGCTACCCAATTCTACATCAATGCTAATGTGCTACCACTAACACCATGAGCTCTTATCCCGTGTATTAATCTTTTACGTTACACCTTATGGAAATTCAAATACACCACACATACTGGTTCTACTTTGTCCACCCTGCTCGTACGTCTTCAAAGAAATCTGATAAATTAGTCAAATATGATTTTCCTTTCAAAAAACCATGTTGACTATGTCTGAATGTATTATTATCTTCTAAATGTTCTGCTTCTCTAATAACAGACTCAAACATTTTCCTTACGGTAAATACTGTGCTAACTGGACTATAGTTTGCTTTATTCTATCTTCCTGCTTTCCTAAATTGAGGTGTTATGATTGCAGTTTCTACTCTGCTGTGACCTTTGTTGAATCTAGGAAGTTTTGGAAAATTGCAATCAATGCACTCACTATCACTCATGACTCTAGGATACAGGCCATCAGGTCCAGGAAATTCAACTTTAAGTTCCAATAGATTACCTATTTCCCTAACGAATGGATTGTTTTACATTGACCCCTCCCTTTTCCTTCTTGATTTTCAACAATTCTTGGGATTTTTTGTGTGTCTGCCACAATGAAGTCCAGTACAAAGAACCTGTTCAACTCTTCCATCATTTCCCTGTTTCCAATTACTAATTTCCCAATCTCTTCCTGTAAGGGATCTGATCTTACTCTAGCTACTCCCTTCCTTTTTATATACCTGCAAAAACTATCATATCTATGTTTTTAGCTAGCTTTCTCACATTCTAAATTCTCCCACATTTTAAAACAAATTGTCCTTTGCTATTCGGTCTATACCAATGTGTGATTTCCATTTCCCTTCCCGTGTGCTTTAACAGTACCAACATTGTCTCCAATTCAGGCAATTTATGCTTCAGATCCAACTCCATACAAGTTAAGGCAAGACTTCAGAAACTCATTTCAACATTACCATATTTTGATGGTTAATGTTGGTCTAGATTCAAACCTAGCTACTTGGGTCAAAGTGCATTGTGCTGAGCTAGCCCATTGTGCACTCTCCCCAGCTTCTTACTTTCATAACCATTTCTCTTTGCCTTTTTCAGGTGAAAATTACAGAACTTTTCCTGATGCTACAAGGATTCTTCCGTGTGATCATCACATTTTAGACAACCAACCATACTCAGCTCTGTCAGACTATTACATTTCACATTTCTACACAGTTTAGTATTTAGGCGTATTTCACAGAGAAACTCCTAACTTTACTAAAATCTTAACAGGAAGAACAATTTTTTTTTAAAAAAGATATTTAGCTCTTGCACCAACCATTTAGGTAGCAAGTGTCAACAAGTTAGCAGAAAAGAATCAAAATTAAGTTTTATGTTTATATTTATTACAGCGTTGGAGAAAAGAACCGTTTCATTCAAAACCAACCCAATGAAGACAATAATTTAGCGAATTTGTAAAATTACATTTGCCAGACTTGTCTTTTTTCTCAGTTTAAAATGCACGATTTGCTGGAGACCGAAATCTACAGTAAAACACCAAAATTTCATCAGTATGTTCCAATCTGACTGCAAATAGGAGATTTACATACTTGTTCAGCAACTCTACAGCTAAACACAGTTAGAATGATTTTAAACACATCTAAAAAGGCAATTCATTTAGAAAGATCTTGCTATTCCCCCAACCCCCACCACCCCCCAAAAAACAAAAACAAAGTATGGTAACATCCCATAACCTGCAGTCAGCACAATAAACACAGTTGACGTTCCTGAAAACTCTGTAAAGGGGTGCAGAAAAAACATCCCTCAATAAAACATTAGCAACGAATATTGAACACAAAACTACAATGTAGAATTTTTTTTCTTTTTTATAACCAGACTACAAGGTAAGAAACACAGAACAGCTACAATGTTATCAAGATTCAGCACAAGGGTTGTCCAGGCAAGATAATATTTTACATAACTTGATACACATTGTATAGAAGTGGGTTTAAACAAAAGACCATCTACAGGTAGTGTGTAACTGTACAGAGATCCCAGCACGATTGTAGTGCCACTAAAACTGTTTATTATCCTCTCTCTCAATCACGTGTCTGCAGTTGTCTCTTTCTTGCGTACAAAGTTTTCCTCTGGATCGATAAAGGTAACAGAGGATTGAACCAATCCAGATTCGAGGTGTGAATGTACATGTGGGCGCGGGGTAGGAAGGATAGCGGGAGTTGGGGAAAAGATATACGATCCTCTCAATCTGCAACCCACTGCACAAATCATCGTTCAGCTACACAGGTATGGAACAGCCACTGATTAATACCTTGCAACTGGAGAGAAGGGCTCACAGAAGCAAGAAAAAAAATAATCTGTGCCACCAAAAAAAGGTCTTCAAAAGTAAACCACATTGTGTAAACGTCCCAGATAAAATGGCTACAATATGGACAACATCGGATCTTATACCTAGACTAGCGCCTTATTCAGTTCAGCACAAAAATACACGGGTTCAAAGGATGAAGCAGAGGAGGTCTGTTCGGGTGCTAGAGGCGTTTACATTTTTTTCTTTGCTTCAAAAAGATGCGATGTGTAACGTACAGTCCTTCCAGGAGAAGGGTTTTATGTCTTGAATTTTTTTTTGTCCTTCATGTTTATGGAATAAAAGAAGTTCAGCCTTTTTATTGCGTGAAACTTAAAATTGGGGTTTTGCCCCCAGTTCCTCGTCAACACGTTGAACTGCTTCTTGCATACGTTCTTTAATCTTCCAGAGGGCAGCCGTTTCATCATTCTGGTCCTGGAGAAGGGGGAAGGGGAAAAATCACACGCTCATCGTCATGCTGGGGGAATACTGAAAGAAAGTGACAAAGATTACATGGGTTGGAACCATACAACTCGCACCAGACCAATTCAGAAAATCTGGGTTCTACTAAACATGGCAGATGTGCAAATACAGTTGACTGTTCAGCCATAAGACACAATGCAATCAATCATTCAATCCTCACTGCTGTGGAGGGAATTGCTCCCTCATTTAAAGAGGGATTCACTTCTCCTTCACACTGACAGAAAGCTGAGCAATCAAGTTATGGATCTCCAATAACCTGCAAGAGTTCCAAGCCAATGGCATGGGTGTAACTTAACCTTTATATGGTCCCACCAGCCCCTCCCATTCTCTAATGTCTACCTCCTGCCCTCTCCAACAGCTCCAAGCAAGAACAGGCATGAATGAGTTCAACAATTTAACATATATTTACTAAATAATCGGATCTTCAGTTTCAGAAACCTAAAAAAAATCATATCTTCAATTCAAGATCTTTTCTTGCAAACTGACTGCTGTTGGGAATTTACTCATTTCTACTTTCAGATATGTAATTCCCACATTATTCACCTTAGCACAGTACAGCATTTTGTGCTCCTTGTAAAATTCTCATTGCAAGGGAAAATGATCAGCTTTGAGAATTAAAACAAACATCTATTTTTTAAAATCAATTTTGTCCACCTCATCTCCATTTTCCTTAATCTTTCTTCCCAAGGGTAATGACTCATTTTGTTCTTGGCTTCTGCAAGTTCTGACAGCTCTTCAGCATTTGAGACTTAGTTATTAGAAGTAACTAGAAAAAGTAGGGCTTCTTTTAATTAGAACACAACGGTTAGGTGGAAACCTTATAGAAATCTTCACCAGGACAGTATTGATCAAGTCAAAGAAGACAAATATTTTCAGTAAGTGAAAGAACACAATGGTTGAAACAATCCATTTTTATGGATTCTAATAATCATGGCTGACGTGAAAATAGAATTTGCTGTATCACCAGAAGGGTGATAAGAAATAAAGGACACTTCATTCATGGAAGCACAATTTTTAAGGACTTTCAAAAGGCAAGTGGCTAAAAATTTGGAAGAGAAACAGTGGTGCTTTCAGAGAACAAATATGCTCAATGGGCCAAAAAGTCTTGATCTGCTCTGCAAAATACTACGATCTCTTTCGTAACAATGAAGCATCACTGCAAAAGTCTAATCCTATTCTTCCATAATGGCCAGGCTGGTGTACTTTTCTCTCCTTCAACCTGGAATTCTGTGGCAGATTATAGCTGAGGTTGCAAAAGGAGAACTGAGGCTTTACCATCTCTGCACAAACGGAAAAAATCAAATCTAGAGCTATCCCACTCTCAATTGGTCAGTTTTCTGTTTCTAGTTGAAGGAATTTTGTGTTGGCCACACAGTTAAGCAATGTTCAAGGAGACAAGTGTTTTGTAACTTCAATTGTCTCTATCAGAGTCTTATAAAAAGCAGGTATAATTAACCACCAAACAACTTGTCATCTTGTAATTTTGAATAAAGGTATTTTAACAAATATGTCAAAAAAGAATTTCTAAGTAATACAAAACTTGAGTCTTTCCTCAAAATTATACAAAGCAAAATCTGCCATGGTTACTTGTAATATGAACATTCTTCTCTGACCTTCACATCTACTCACATTATCATTTTGGAAGGAGTGGAGAAAATTGCCTCCTAATTCACCGTCATCCCTTGGAGTGCCTGGAGGATTAGTAATGCTGCTCATGTTGTTGGGAGAGTTCTGAAAATTAAAGAAATGATTCCTACCATTAATAGAATGAGGACAATTCTCCCTGTAAAGATACAAATAGTTTATCACCTGTAGCAAGCAAAGCCAAAACTTTAAAATGATAATCCAGAATTTCAATGATTGGTGCTGCCTGGTTAAGTTTGAAATTTAAATCTTTAACATGTTATGTATTGCTCTCACCCCCCTGTTTTCAATGTATAAGGTCTCTATTGATTAGAGTTTAAACTTATGTACAGTACATCAGCTCAGAGATTCTGGAATGAATACAAGTCAAGCCTTATTGGTAGACCTTTAAAAAAAGTCAGTTGCTGCAATACATCTGCAATTCTTAACCCTTGGGTTTTGATACATGGAGTTGTTGGTTCTCCACTTGCCAGTTGGAATGGCCCAAAGGTACAAAGCAATATAGGCAATAGCACCAGTAGACTATTTAGCTCTGTAAACTTGCTCTGCCATTCAGCTAGATTATTACTGACCTTCCTTCTCAACACCTTATTCCTGGTGACCATAATGCATAGAAGTAGCGCATCAATTCTACACCACCAATGATATCATGATAATCCCCAATTCCACTTTACTGCCTTTTCCCCATAAACCTTGAAATATCATCCAGAATATATTTAATGATGGAACCTCCATAGTTCTCTCAGGTAGATAGAACTCTTAAGATTCATTAGCTTCTCAATGAAGAAATTCCTCCATTTCGTTCCCAAATGGTCTACTTTATTCCGAAACTCAATCCAACGATTCCGGCAGGCACAACATCCTTCCTTACTCAATCCTGTCAAGCTCTAAGAATTTTTTGTGATTCAAAGAGATCACCTCTCATTGTTCTAAACTCGAAAGAATACAGGTACAGTCTGTTCATTTCCTCCTCATAAGACAATCCCAACATCTCAGGAATATGTCTGATGAATCGTTAATTCTCTTTAAGGCAAGTACACCCCTTTTTCAATAAGGAGATCAAAACTGCACAAAGTACTCCAATCCTCTTGCAATAAAGACCAAAATACCCACAAAAAATCCAAACCAGTAAAAAGTTTGAAATGAGAACAGAAAAATTCTGGAAACATTCTGTAGTTTGGGCAACTCGTGGATAGAAAGACAGAACGACTGGGGCTAGCCTTTCATCAGAAATGGCAGATTAAATTACCCAGAAATGTGGTCCAACCACACCATGCATCATTTCTGTTCCTTCCATCATTTCTCATCTATATTGGTTATCGTAATCATCTATTCTGTTCTCCATCATAAGTTTATCCTGGTCCTGCTTAAATGCATCCATTTTATTCGCTTCAACCACTCCCTCTGGTACCAAGTTCCATATTTTTTAACCATTCTTTGGGTAAAGAAGGTTCTTCTAAATCCCAACAGAATTTATTGGAGACTCTCTCAAATTATGAACTCTAGTTATGCGTTTACCTACTAGAGCAAACTTTCTCTCTGTAACCACTTTCAATAATTGTAAACAACCCTATTAGGTCACCTCTCATCATTCCTTCCCCCTGCCAGAGAACAGAGACACAGCCTGGCAATTCTTTCAGGATGTGTAAAACGATGCATGTTTGGTCTGGTAACATTCTTATCCTTCTTCTCTGCACCCTCTCCAGTGCCTCTACATTAGTGTTATATGTCTTTCTCATTTTTTAAATGATATAAACCAGTTAGCAATCCGTTCTATTATTTGTCCCCTGACTCCTCATTCATTAAACTATTATGGGGCACTTTTTGAAGGCCATCACAAATTGAGATATATTACATTTCCTGAATTCCCACTGGCTACTTTGTCTGTTGCCTCCTTAAAATTATTCAGTAAGGTAAGTCAAACATGATTTTCACTTTTTTGAAATCCAGGCTGACTATTCCTTATGCTTCCAATTTATAGATGTTCTTCCAACATCTCATAGATGTATACAGCACTTCATGTCTGCTCCACTCAAACACCTGACTGCACAAATCCCATTTTCCACTTTTTGGCCCATATCCCTGGAAGCTATGGCAATGCAAGTGAATATCTAAATACGGCTTAAATGTTACAAGAGTTGCTGACTCAACCACCCTTTCAGCGGGGAGTTCTAGACTCTCACCACCCTCTGAGTGGCAATATACCTCAACTCTGCTCTTAGCCCTTTTCCTCTTCCCTGAAATCTATGCTCTCTGGTTTTTGGCCCCTCTACTAGTGGAAAAAGTGCCTTCTGATCCACCCTCTGCTCCTCATAATCTTATACTCAATCTTACTCAGATCCCCTATCAACCTTCACTACTTCAAGGAAAACAATCCCAGGCTTTCCAATCCTTCCTCTTAGCACAGACCCTCCAGCCCAGGGAGTATCCTGGTAAATCTGCTCTGTGCCATCATATCTTTCCCATAATTCGGTGACAAGAACTGCATGCGGTACTCCTGTTGTGGCCTAACCAGCATTTTATAAAATTCGGCATAACCACTCTACTTCTGTATTTTGTGTCTCAGCTAATAAAGGTGAGTATCTCATTTGCCTCTTTAAGCACTTTACCTACCTACCTACCTTCCCTGCTCTGCTACCCTCAAGAATCTGTGGAAATGCACATCAAGATCCCAAAGGTACTACCTTTCATTGTGCAATCCCTTGCCTTGTTTAACCTTCTGCAAGTACATTACCTCATACTTTTCGGGGTTGAATTCCATTTGGCATTGCTACACTTGCCTGACCACTCCGCTAATATCTTCTTGCAGTTTAAAGCCACCCTTGCTATTTGTCACCCTATCATATTTCATCTGCAAATGTCTTGATCATACCCCCAACATTATAGTCAAAGATCATTAATGTACTCCAGAAACAGCAAGGATCTCATCACTGAGCCCTATGGCAACCCACTGGAAACAAACTTCCAGTTAAAAAACAACATCCTTCCACCAAACAAAAAAACCATCCTTCCACCATCACCCTCTTCTTCCTACCTCTCAGCTAATTTTGGATCCAAAGTCTCACTTTTCCTTAGATCCCAGGCCTCTTACTTCCTTGACCAGTTTGCCTTGAGACACCTGATCAAAAGAGTTGCTAAAGTTCATGTAGACCCAAACTAATGCATTACTCTCAACACTCTTGATTACTCCCTCAAACAAAAATCCAATTTGTTGAATTTCACCCTCCCTTAAATTCATGCTGATGTATCATGTTTCTCCAAGAGCAGGTATATTGTCATTCAGAACGCTTTCTAAAGACTTATCACCAAGGTTAGCCTGTCTGGCCAATTTCCTGGTCTATCACATCCTCCCTTTGTTTTAAAATAATGGTATGTTAGCAATCCTTTAGCAATTCACTTGAAGCCAGGGAGGATTAGAGAATTGCCAACAAGGCCTTTGATATCTCCTCCCTTGCCTTCCTTCAATAGCCCAGGTTATAATTCATCCAGGTCTGCAAATTTATGCAGTTTTAAGGCTACTAAATTCACTAATACCTCCTCTCTCTCGCACTCTCAGTTAACTACTTCTAATAGTTCACTAGTCCCCTGCGCGATTGTCTATACCCACATCATCCTTTTCTATTGTGAACACAAATGCAAAGTATTCCTTCAGGACTGTACTCATCTTTCAGTTCCCCATACATTCCATTTTGTACTTGAAATACTCATGTCACTCCCATTCCAAACTCGTTGCTCTGTGTTGTCTGCATGGTTCCAAAGAAACTCAAAGTGAGCTTGTCATTCTAACCTGTGTTATGTTCTTCTGGCCATGACAATGATTTCAGCAATTTGAAGCCTTTACCACAATTCCCAGTTACTCTCAGTTTGTTTTGGCGATATAGGATAGTGGCACCACTGCTTCCAAAGACTGAGGTGGTGGTTGGCTGATGATTGGGACAATCACCAATGACAGTTCTCTGCTTTTTCCCACAAAACTCCACAAAACAGGTGCCTGCAACTGTCTCCAGTTTTCCAGATTTTCTGCACTTCTTTCGACTTTCTATTCTGCTTTATTCATTCATATAGTCTCATGATTTTATATACATCTTTCATTTCTCTAATTTCCCTTAATCTTACATCCTTTTGTCCCATGGTTATTATCTCGGTCATTTAATCACTACCCACTCCTCCAGGCAATCACAAAATGTCTCATTTTCTATGCCACCTGTTTCCCTGACTGTAGTCAGAGAATTTTTGTGCAGATTTTATGCCCTGACTCAGGGCCCAGCAATGTGGTCAAGAGAAAAACAATCAAACAACATGGGATCCTTTTAGATGACTTTCCTTGACATTTAAAGTAAACCAGATTGTAATTATATACATAGTCAGCTGTAAATGATAGGAAAGATCCAATAAATGAATGTATGTTGAAGCAATTAACCCCTTTAGTTGATGCAAAACAAATTGGAAATTTGTAGATTAACTGTTCGATTTGCATGCTTTATCAACAAACAGAAAATACCTCTACCAACTCTCCTGAATGATTCTGATTTGCTAAACTTTATACGCTCTTATAGGAGATTAAATCAGTAGACCCAAGAGCCAACAATAATGTGCAGCATTTATAAAGGTGGAAGTATAATGTTTCTCTCTCTGCATCCCCTCAGCCCCAGTTTCCACCAATTCTAGTTGTGATTGTAGAAACTCTTCATCTTGGTTTGTTAGAAAGGTATATTCACTAATATAATTTGTAATGAATAGATTTAAAGCTAGCTCTGTACCTTAGGGATACCGTCCATATCTCCCGATCCTATGGATAGTAAAAAGAAACATTTAGTTTAAAGTGTGTTCGTCAATCAGTCACCATGTTAGACAACACAAGATCATCCTGGATTAATATTGCTGAGAAATCTATAGGTTTTTGCAACTTACATAAGGTTCACAAAGGTACAGTATTTAAATATTCCACTCTTCCAGGTAAATAAATCCAAATTCTTCTCTTTACAGACTATAATACCTCCTTCTCACTAAAGAAGTCTGAAACATGCTTAGAGACAATGAATTCTATACTTCTGGACTGGCTTCAGTTTATGATTCCATAAATATCTTTTCATCATTACTTCTAGAAGGAAGTCAGCTTACCTAATGATCCATTCATGTGATGTGGCTCAATTCCTCCCATTCCACCCATTGGACCCTCAGAACCAGGCCCTAGTGGGAACTGAGGGGGAAAAAGTTAGAAGAAATGAAAAACACATGTAATTTCTAAGGCTGATGCAGCTGTGACAAATGGCAAACCATCTGCTTAAGATGGTCATCCAAGAGTTCAGAGTTTAGCAATGAACAAAGCCAAGACAAAATCTGAATGACTGGTAATTGCAACGAACAGATAACACAAAAAAAATTTAACTCTTTCCCCATAAGAATTGTTTTTTCTTGCAAACCAAACTTACATTTGATCGGCTTCCTCCAGGTGGCACTGGATTAATCATCGTGTACATGTTGTCACTGGAATTCGTTGAATCTGTATTTGAGGGAGACAAAACAAAAAGAGGTCACCATAGATAACTTAGCACATACGTATACCCACATCACTTGTGCAGGAAAATCCAAGCTTCTTAGTCTCCAAAGTCCTTCAACACCAATGCTTACAGCATTGTAACTCTTGTTGAGCTGCAAGTCATTTGGTGTTGAAATAGTTTGTTTCAGCTACATTGTTCATAATATAGTATTTATAGCACAGTAAAGGTTTATTTGGTCCAACAGATCCACAAAGGCTTCTCTCAGCTTTTATCAAATAAACATAACCTTCTATCCCTTTCGTACTTACCTACCTTCTGATTAAATGCATCTATACCATTCATCTCAACTACTAGACAGAGCGAGTTCCACATTCTGACCATTTGCAGTAAAGAAAATATTCCTCATATACTTATCACCCTTAGTTCTGGTCTTCCTCGTAAGTAGAAATATCCCGCTGCATCAACCCTTTCAAATCATTTCACAACCTTAAAAACATATCAGATCACCTCTCAGTCTTCTCCATAAATCCCTGCCTGTTCAGACTTTCCTGATGAATATAATCTCTTAGCCCATAACATCCCGGTGAAACTATTTTTGACCTCGTCCAATGTCTCTATATCCTTGTATATGTAAAGCAGATCTGCGTATTCCAAATGTTGTCGAACCAAGATTCTATACAGATTTACTGTAACTTCTGTTTGTCAATGCTCTCCTTCTACAAACTCATTCCAGTGCTTTGTCTGCTTTAAAAGAATGGTGTTAATCTACACCGCTACTGTTGCCAATATATGCATGTGTACCCCTTTAATTGGGGAGTCTGTTCGCTCAGTTGGTTGAATGACTGCATTGCAATGCAGAATGATGCCAACAGCATGGGTTCAGTTCCTGCACTGGCTGAGGTTACTATGAAGGACTGTCCTCCTCAACCATCTCTCCCTCTCCCGAGGCAGGGTGATCCTCAGGTTACACCACCCGTCATCTTTCTCATGAGGAAGCTGCCCTACAGTTTGGCAAAACTATGGTATTTTACCTTTACCTAATTCAGCTATTTTCACCACACAAATGCACTCCAGGAAACATTGCTGAACTTACAGCTTATAGATGGTTTAACCTATGATTTCCACCAGTTCAGTTATACAACAATCACCCAGTGGATTAATCTACAAAGTGGTACTGAAGAGGAGATCAGGATTTCTTCTGAAAAGATCAAGAGCTGTGTTCAATATTTAAATTCCTTTCTCTTTATTTTAAATTGAGTGCTGACTGTATCCAATTTTAAATTGTCACTGAACTTCACAGCATAAGGCAAAACAGTTAAACAAACTCAAGTCAATGAAACATCAAAGAACAGTGCATTGTCAAAGGCCATTCCTTAAGACTGTCAAACTACCATGTAATCTTGATTTGAAATAAAATAAGGAACCAAAAGATGTAAAATGTAACCACTTAGTAATGTAAAGGATCAAACTTTGCATTTGTCATTCACTGTAACATTCACAGCATTCAAGGTGTTGCGAGTGAGTTATTGGTACAGCAAGAGGGCTGCAGTCTTCCAAACCACTGCTTTCCTATCATACAATTACAACAGGTTAGTGATTAATCAGTAATTCATAGTGTCTACGTACTGAAACCAAGAACTGGGGAGTAATTAATTGAATCTCTTTATAAATTCATTTTGTTGAATGCAGTTTAAGAAACTAAATTAGGGGTTATCTGGCGCAGTGGTAGTGTCTCTACCTTCGAGCCAGAAGGCCAAGATTCAGGTTCCACCTGATCCAGAGGTGTCATAACACATCTGAACAGGTTGACTTAAAAAAACCTAAAAATTAAAAGATTACATAAAGTGAGGCAATTTACACCAAAAGTTCTGGATGGCACAATCCGATTTTTTGAGTACTATTCAATACAAGGTTAAATAGACAGCTCAGAAATACACAACATTGGTATAAATGTAATACAGTTCAGAAACGAGTTAAGTGTGTTTAGTGTGTTTTTAAGAAAACACTGCTTATGATCAAAAGGTTATTTGATCCAATTGTACAATTAAAATAGTAATTAAACCATGCAGTAAGTGATGACACAATTGAGGGTATTAGCTTGGAGTACTTATTAAATCCAATACATGGGGGAAACCATCAATAGACAATTATAATAAACTGCTCATACTGTTGGTCTTCTCTCAGTGACAAAATTGTCTGATCAGCACATACTGTTTGAACAAAAATTACTAGATGAGATAAGAGCAGACAAGTCTTTGATTTTTTTTTTGAAAAAGAGAAGTATCGCTGACCTGATAATCATTAGGTTAAAATGTCATGGTACCTGTACACATTTTCACATTAAACCTTGATAAGAATTAAGACTAGCATGTATTTGAGATTTTAACAGCAGTATTGAGAGACTCATGGGTAAAGTTGTACCTGCTGGACTTGGCATTATCGGTGTCCCTGGAGGACCTCCACCACCAGGGGGCCCCTACAAACAAAACACACAAATCAGCCTCAATTGAATTATTACAGGCTGCACTTTGAATGTTGCTGTACACCAGTCTAAGGGTTTGGTGTGTTGCTAAGTAGTCTCAACACAACACTAGAAAGCAGCCTTCTGAATATAAAGGGATTTTCGGAGAGACCAATGGAGCCATGGGGACCACTCCAAATGTCAAATCAAATTTACATGCCTCTCGAATGTAAACGTCGCAGATGAACTATTATCAACAATCAGAAATATGGTTGAAACCTTTCCCTTTGATTAGTTGTTTTATCTTTATGAACCCTTTCTATAGAGGGAGACTTATTTATCTTTGCAACTTCTTTTGTGGCAGCCAATGCCAAATATACTGCCAAATTCAGTACTTTGCAGAAATTACTCACCAAATTAGTAATATTAAATGTTGCTGTGACAATTTAACAATTAAAGGGAGATTTAAAAAAAGCATTCACATATTTTTCAAACTTAACCGAAGCACAATATTTTATTGTGACAACTTCTCCAAAGTTTAAATCAAATAACATTCAAAGCTTATAGTTTGATATGCTAGAATATGCTAAAGACTACAAGTCATTATTTAAGTGTTGATATGACATCTATATTTGGGGGCAGAGATACACCATCCTTTTCCTGCTTTCTCAATACGATCATCTCCCCTAAAACCCAGATCTTGGAAAATCTTTTACCAACTGTGTCATCTTACAGGAATGAATAGAATCAACACTTGAGATTGACATTTCAGTTTGAAATTCCCAACAAAAATTTTCAGGTCATCTACAGAATGAATTTTTCAACATCTACAAGCATTGGGACTGTGCAAAACATGTTCAAAATACAAATACGTACCCCATATGTACCAGGAGATGAGGAGGAGTATGGAATCTGAAAGTGAAAACATCATATTTGAGAGATTTAAGGTCAATTTTACCAAACATCAGTGAAGCCAACTGTAAACTCTCCACATGGATTATGAACATGGTTTGAGCAAAGCCTCGCACATTGAATTGCAACAATTTACCTCAAATCTAAACTAATAGAGATATTTCAAATCTACTTTGTGAATAGAAGGGAATATATTGCTTAGAAGTGTAAATTTGTTGTTTTTCCTCATTTCTGCACATGACTTGTCCAAATGGCCATTGTTCACATAAACTGGCAAAAATATTGAAAAATCTTTAAATGAGGTGAATGATAGACCATTTCAATATCTACATCCATTGCAAACAATTTTCAAGATAGCAATTAACAGAATAGTAAAATTCCTCAAACTCATGGGCTCTAGTGTGTTAGATATAAATGCAAGTATTTGAGGGTAAGTCAAAGTACTTTACTGACAACTTTTAAAGTGTTGCCATTGTACTTCAAAGTGTTCCAAAGATGACTTATACTTAATATTTCTTGGAGAATTAATGTTTAGAGGGATCATGGAAAACAGACTTATTTCAAGCCTTGTGGAAATGCTTGGAATGAATTGCTTAAAAAGCAAAGTTCACTGTGGACATTGAAGACTTTTAAAACAAGGCTTCCTGTAAATTACATGACTGGTGATGACCACTTGCTTTGCTGTCGATCCTTTCTGAAGCTCTTGTGAACAATAACAGACTTGAAGATGTGTTGCTTTATTTGGGTGACTTGGGGGCAAGCTGAAGAACAAGTTGTATCAGACAGAAGACAGGCTGATCAACCGATCCCTCCCATTTCTGAAAAGAAATCCCTCTGTTGAATTCAATGAGAAGCCTATTTGCTCTTTTGAAAGAGTGACTGAAGGTTCAAGATTATATTTCTTGAGCACATTGTGCCTGCAAGACCTCAGAAACACCTGGACGTGATGATTATTTTCTTGACCACATGAGCCAGAGCATTAATAATTGTTTTCACTAATGTCCTTCAGGGAAGGAAACTGCTTTCCTTACCAGAAGTAGCCTACATGTAACTCCAGATCCACAGCAGTATGGTTGACTACCTTCTGAAATGGTAGAGCAAACCTCTCAGTCACTACAAAGTATCAAGAAAGGAATGAAACTGGAAGGACCACCTACCATTAACCTCGGTACCAGAAATGACAACGGCAAACAAACACAGTCCTGTGGACCCTACAAAGTCCTCCTTACCAACTTCTGGAGGGTTGTGTCAAAGTTGGGAGACCTGTCAGCAACAGCCTGACACAGATTCACACCTTATAGACTATGTCCCTATCACTGCCATCACCATCACATCAGTCTGACAGATCCACAAGAGGTGATGGCACAGTATTTATAGTTGGGACAAGAGATGTTCCAGGAGTCTCCACACTGACTGCAGGCACCCTGAAGTCTCACGGCATCAGGTCCTACAGGGGCCAAAAACAACTTGTTGAACACAACTCACCACAACTCTGTGGGGGATTAATCAGATATTCCACTTAAGTAAGTATTGATAGTGGAAAGGGCACAAAACGTACTCTGGCTGGGAGACTTCAATGTCCATCACTAAGGGTGGTGCAGTAGCATCATTACTGAGTGAGCTCTAAAGGATACAGCTGCTGGACTGTGTCTGTGGCAACTGATGAGGAAACCAACAAGAGGGAACCATCTACTGCATCCTCACCAATCCACATGTCACAAATGCATCTGTCCAAAGGGGCATGTATGAGTGACCACTGTGGTCATAACGGAGGCAGATGTGACTTTGCAGTGAGTTTAGCCTTCATTGAATTAAATGGGACCGATTTTGAACAAATCTAGCAACTCCAAACTGGGTCTCCATGTGACACCATAGGCCATCAGCAGCAGTATTGCATTCAATCACAATCTGTAATCTCATGGTCTGGTATATTCCCACTCTAATATAGCCATCAGGCCAAGAGATCAACACTAGTTCAAAGAAGAGTGGAGAGGGCATGTCAGATGACCAGCCATAGCTAAAAATGAGCAGTAAGGCTGGTGAAGCTACACAGGACTCTTTACATACCAAAACAGCAGAAGCAGTAAGCAGTAGAGTTAAGCGAACCCAAAACCAACAGATCAAATTTAAGTTCACGGCCCTGCCACAGTCAGAATCATACAAATGACAAGAGTGGAGGCCCCACCAATATCCACAACCACAATGATGGAGGAGTCCAGCACTTCAGTACAAAAGGCAAAGCTGAAGTATTTGCTTCAATCTTCCACCCAGAAAGGTAATCCAATTTAGCATCCTCCTGAGGTCCACACAATCTCAGATGCCAATCTTCAACAAATTCAATTTACTCCACATGGTTTCAAGAAATGCCAGAAGACAATGGACACTGCAAAGGTAACAGACAGTGACAAACTGCCTGGATATATATGCTGTACAAAAGCAGGACAAATCCAAACTGGCCAATTACCGATGGGTCGGTCTACTTTCAATGATCAGCAAAGTGACGGAAGGGGTCATCAATAGTGCTGTCAAGTAGCTCCTGCAAAGAAATAACTTGGTTGCTGATGCTCATTTGAGGTTTCACCAGGTCCATTTTGCTCTTGACCTCATTACAGCCTTGGTCCAAATGTAGACAAAAGAACAGGACTCCAGAAATAATGCGAGTAACTGTGCTCAACATGAAAGCAACATTAAAATGAGTGTGGCATCAGAGCCCGAGCAAAATTGGAGTCAATGTGATATAGGGGTGAACAGTCCTCTAGCTAGAGTCATAACTAGTGCAAAAGATGATGGTTGGGGTTGTTGGAGGTCAATCATCTCAGACTCAGGACATCTCTGCAGGAATTCCTCAGGGGAGTGTCCTCACCCCAACCCTCTTTAGCTGCTTCAAAAGAACTTCCCTCCAATATGCGGTCAACCGTTCACTGATAATTGCACAACGTTCAGTATTCTTCGGACAGGTGATGGCTATCCCTCCGACAAGAGGGAATCTGCCCATTAACCCTTGATATTCATTGCCATTGCTGAATACCCCACTATCATCTTGGAGGGTTACCACTGACATGCCGCCGAACTGGACCAGGCATATAAATGCTATAGCTACGACAACAGGTCCGAGGCTAGGAATTCTGCAGTGAATAACTCACCTCCTGTCTTACTAATATCTGACTAACATTTACAAGGCACAAGTCAGGAATGTGATAGAATGCTTACCACTTGCCTGGATGAGTGCAACACCAACACCATCTAGGGCAAAGCAGACTGCTTCACCACTGAAACAAAGCAGCAGCAGCTTGTACCATTTAGAAATGCACTGCAGTAACTCACCAAGGATCCTTTGAAAGCACCTTCCAAACCCATGAACTCTACCACTTAGAAGGTCACAGGCAGTAGATACATAGGATCACCAACGCCAACCGTACGCTTCCCTCCAAGCCACTCACCATCCTGACTTTGAATTATATCATTCCTTCATTGTTGCTGGGTGAAAATCATGGAATTTCCTTCCTAACAGCATTGCAGGTGACCCTGTCCTCCAAGTACTGCCACGGCTCAAGGTGGCAGCTCACTGCCATTCCTCTCCTGGGCAACTAGGAACAGGCAATAAATGCCAGCAACAAAAATGAACAAATAAAAGAGAATTTACACTTCAGCCTTTTGCATTCAAAAATAACCAATTGGCCAAAGTTTTGCAGAAAAATCTTTTTTCTCTCCAACTGATTATTATATCTTCAGTGAATACACGGTTTTGATAATAAGCCAATAATTGTACTTAAGAAACCTGGTCAAAAAATCTTTAAAACCTGATGCAAGGTACTTAATAGGCTGTCTTGGTAAATGTATTTTGTCGTGACCGATGGAATAGTGAGACTAGAGTAACAGCTGCGCTTCTCCAGCTTCAGTCATCACAAAGTTGACTAACGAAAGCAATGTATCTCCCAAACAGTAATGTGATAATCACAGAATCCCTACAATGTGGAAACAGGCCATTCAGCCCATTGAATCCACACTGCCCCTCTGAACAGCATCCCATCCAGACCCACACCACTGCTCCATCCTTATAACCCTGCATTTTCCATGGCTAATCCACCTAGCCTGCACATTCCTGAACATTACAGGCAATTTAGCTTTGGACTATGAAAGAAAACCAGAGCACCCGGAGGAAAACCACGCAGGGGAAGTTATGAAAACTCCACAGCAACAGTCGCCCGAGGGTGAAATCGAACTTGGCCCAGCAGTGAACTTTCACTGCCACTGCCTCTGCTGTTTGATTTCAAGTACCTCTGGACATCAGGGTTTGTCTAAGAAATAATGGTCAGGACTATTGTTGAACTAGTGTCATAGGATCTTTTAAGTCAAAGGGCAGACAGAACTTCTGTTTGATGTGTCACTTGAAAGATGGTAGCCCAGCACCCCCGCACCCCCCCGCCTCCCCCCCCACCCCCGCCGATGCCACATCAATTGTGGCATTTTTAATGTCACTCTAGTCGTCACAAACTAACTAAGCAGAAGGCTATCAGCTGCATCATCTACCACATTTTACTTAATACCAAGGATCTGTATTCACCTACCTATCAGTGGGGTAACTACCTGAAAATGCTATTTCCTACTGCTATCATTGCAGGATCATTACCACTGCAGACACTCAACTTATAAAAGCACTTATTCATCTTGCAGGTGGGAGCGCACACTGGACAGTTTCAGGAAAAAGAAAATCAGTTCTTCCAGCTGTTGTTACACATTAAATTAACTAAACAACGTTCTAGAGCTGGGATATTCAGAGTAAGTACCTCAAAGATATGGCATAGAGAGAAGTAATGTTTAGAAGCTCCCAAGCACACAAACCATCATTTGGTTTTGTAAATCATTCAGAAGTAATCTGATCCTTGTGTGAAGTGTGAATCAAGAAAGCTTCGTGTGTAGTCAATACAGTGTGGAGCTGGAGGAGCACAGCAGATCAGGCAGCATCAGAAGAGCAGGAGGGTTGACGCTTTCAGTCAGGACCCTTTAGCAGGACTGGGGTGGGGGAGGGGGAAGATAGGTGCCATGGCAATAGGTGGATGCAAGTCAGAGTAGTGGGGATTGGTCAGCGGGAAGGATGGGGCAGATAGGTGGGGAAGGAGATGGACAGGTTGAGTCAGGTCAGTAAGGTGGGGATGACAGAGAGGGTTGGACTTGGGATGAGAGCACCGGTGCAGAGATTTTGAAACTGGTGAATTCCATGTTGAGGCCTTTGGGCTGTAGGCTCCCAAGGGGGAATATGAGGTGTTGTTCCTCCAGTTTGCATGTGGCATCATTGTGACACTGGAGGCGGCCCAGGATGGACATGTCACCCAAGGGGTGAGAGGGGGAGTTACAGCAACCAGAAGGTGTTATTGATTAAAGCGTACAGAGCGCAGATGATCCGCGAATTGGTCACCGAGTCTGCGCTTAGTCTCACTGATGGAGAGGAGGCCACAGAGAGCAACGGATACAGTAGACCAGGTTGGAGGATGTACAGGTGAATCCCTGTCAGATATGGAAAGCTTCATGTATAGAATGTGTAAAGATCATGTGGTTAAGCAGTTTGGTGTCAACATCAGGACTTTCATTTAAAACAAGACCCATGAAAATAAGACAGTCACTAATACATCCAAAAAAATCCATGAGGAACATCTTTTTCCGAAGAGCGGTTAGATTGTGCAGCATGCCAGCACATGGAGTAGTTGAGGTGAATAGTACAAATGCATTTAAACGGAAGCTAAATACACAAAATGGAGAGCCATGTAAATGCTGACTGCCTATTACTGTACATATTCTCTATGAAAGGCACTCTTCTGTCAACACTGACAAAAAGGACAAAACTACAAGGACAATAATTTAGTTGTAGCAGGGACATTGCACTTGCTATATGGCAAGTGTGATAGCTCTTGACTAATAGCAAAAGTTTCAGTTTTCAATAAATAGGGGGCCTTTGCTGCAGATCCCAGAGTTTCATGGAACAGTTCATCAAGCACCCGGGGAAAAGAAAGGCTGGACCAGAGTAACCCTCACTGCGTCTAAAATCAATAAGGAATTGCCGGTTTAGCCAATTTGGATTTTAACAGCACCTGAAATGGTTCAATCTTCCCACTATGGAAGGGATTTACAAGATTCATCAAATGTATTCAGTGGAAAGAATTAGCACTAAAGACAGAAGCTGCAGAAAACGCATGAAATGGAACCCAAAGCATGACAACAATTGAAAAAACAATTTAAGAATGACAATATCTTTCTCTTGCTACTTGAAGAAATGTGAATGGAATTGATGATGGAAACAAGGGAACAGAGTCATGACACGTAGAAACTGGAAGTAGGATGAGAAAGGTCATACAGTACAGAATGATTACCTCCTACTGGAAAAGTAATCTGTAATAATTTTTCCTGCTGGACTGCCGAACGTATTCATGGTACATGGAAACTAATAAATGAAGAGCTCATCGTAATGGGCAGATGCAGGTAACATTTTGTTTGAATACATCCTGAATCAATATAAAAAAGTTTCCCTAAGGATTAATAATCAAAATGAATAGTTTTTCCACCAATTCCTTATGAAAGTTGATGGGTCATTGCAAAATACATGCATTTCACCGTATGTTTACGCCATAAAGAGTGGCATGCATTAGAAGGAAATTGTGCAATCAATGCACAATAATTGTTTCATAAAGTATGTTACTACAAGTTTTGATTTCCTTCTTTAAATGTGCTAACAAAAAACTCCTTACTAATTAAATACGGAACATATGCAAGAATATATGAAAAGGATACTTTACATGAAATCAATAGGTAGAAACAGAACACATTCCTGAGGGCAAACTGATAGCTATGTTGTAAGGTTATGAAGGATTTGGTTGGATAGACTTAGAAAATATGTTTCCACTTGAGCTAATAAACCCAACAGGGTTTGCAACAGTAACTTACGACAGTGGTTAGAATGCAGAACTCACTATCACAGGGAGTAGTTTCAACAACTAATATGGGTTCATTTAAGGGGAATCTAGATAAACAACTTAGGAAGAAAGGTATAGAAGGACATGGTGGGATTAGAGAGGGGTGGATGGAAGCTCAAGTACAGCATAACCATTGTTGGGACAAAAGGTCGACTTGTGTGGTAAATACTGTACTACTTACTGAGTTAGCATTGGAAGGATTAGGCCATGGTCGCCCAGCTCCTGGACCCCTGCAATAAAAGTGTATTATTTAGTTCCACTTATTTTGACAATATATTAGCACTGTCACCCTGTTCTTACAGCACTAACTCTGTAGTTGTTTTCTCCAAATCCCTTAGATGCCTTTGCTACAAGTTAAGATACGGTACAACTCAATTTATCCATAATAATGAGTTTCAAACTCTTGAAAGTTAAAGTTAAAAACATATTTAACATTCCTGTCAAGAACATGATCATGTCTTGCAAAGTAATCAATGTTATTAAGAGTTTAAAACTGACTTTCCCCACTTTTATCAATGACTTATCTGAACACAAACAGACTTACATGTTCATTCCAGCCATGCCTGGACCTATTGAATTGGGTGGAGGTCTCATTGAACCGCCATAGTTCTGCAATGATAACCAAGGATCAGACTACCATAACGAGAAGAAAACCAGAGAAAGGGATGGAAGGGAAGAAAAACAGAATATTAGTTGTTAAGTTACTGTGCAGATCCCAAGACTTGTGCTCAAAATAGTTGAAATCAACAAGGTCTGACTCAAAAATATTTTGGAGCAATTGCATACTCAACTGGATGTTGCAATGCTACGGTGACTTGGTTCCATCGTCTTACTCCACCCCCACCATCCCCAGTCTCAGTAGCAGTGGGGATTGAAGTCAATCACATACCCAATAAATTCACAAATCACTACAATAATTTTCCTCTACTCCCATTCACTAAATATTTTTGCCTTTTACTGACTTGGCCATTTGATCCCAACAAACACTCTCAGCTAAAATATTAGAGATAGTCGGAACTGCAGATACTGGAGAATCTAAGATAACAAGGTGTAGAGCTGGATGAACACAGCAGGCCAAGCAGCATCATCAGAAGGGTCTAGGCCTGAAATGTCAGCCTTCCTGCTCCTATGATGCTGCTTGGCCTGCTGTGTTCATCCAACTCTACACCTTGTTATCTCAGCTAAAATATTAAACGGGCAGTATTGTGAGACTGCACATCAATTTTGTGCAGGCACTGAATTTTCATTAATATAACTAAAAATGTTGAGAGAAAAAAAAGTCCTGAGAATTAGCAAGACTAACTATCAATTCTACCCAACAATGTGCACTTTAAAGCACGTTTGAAAAATATAATATTCCAAGGCACTTCAGTAAATTAGTGAGAGGAACAGAATACCATTTGGAAGCGTTTAGGGGTGACTAAAAGTTTGGATGCAAAGATGGGATTTGAAAGAGAGGCACATAGAAAGAATTGAACAAGGATTGAACAAATTTGAGCTGTTGGGGGGTAAAAGCTCTGTCACTAGTCACAGGGGAAGACAAATGAATGAGCTAGGATAGAATACTGAAGAACATGGGAGAGGAACTAAGTTTAGAGGACGTTGCAGAGATAGGATGGAGTGAGATGAAGGAACTTGTGAAGATGAGGATAACAAAACATAAGCCAGCAATTAGTGCAAATTAGCAAGGGCAAAGATTGATACAAGAATAGATTTGTTACATCATAGGGTTTGGGATACAATATTTTGGACAGTGGAGGGTAATGAACACAAACAAAAGGGAGACAGTCAGCACGATACAACACAAACAGCACTGACATAAATAATCAGATATGCTGCTTTGGTGACATTAGTTGAGGGATAAATATTTGCCTGGAGAATGCTTGGAATAATGTTATGGCAGATTTATTAGTCTATCTAAGGGGGCAGATCAGGCTTCAGCTTAACATCTCAAGGCACCTCCAGCTATGCAACACTGAAGTCTGACACTGAAGGCTCAGCCTAGATCATGTGTTCAACATTTTGGAGTGGGAGTCAAAATCACCACTTCTGACGCAAGGATGTACACTACCCAGCGAGGAAAATCTGACAGGGAAGTATTGATTCTGCTGGCTACTCTCTCCCAGATTAGAGGTACTGTGAACAACTGTTGCACTTTCAGATCAGCAAAAGCAGATTTAACCTTACAACTGACCTATACAACGTAAACACAAAATGCAAAACTCATTGTGGAAACAGAGAAATTGCAAAACAGGAGGCAGCTAATTGACTGTCAATTGGTGGACACAAAAATTAACTTGGTGTTTCAATACTGATAGAACAGTGCATTCAAAGACCAGAAACTGAAACGTTGCGGCCTGTGTCACCTACCTGCTGCCCCATGGGGCCCATTCCTCGTGGGGGAGGATTCATTCTCTGCATTGGTCCACCCATACCAGGATGCCCTGGAGAAGGAAGAAGAAACTATTTACACATGCTGGGCCCGGAAATATCTTTAAAACCCAGCAGACTGTGAACATATCTCACCTTGCTGTCGCGTGGGATCCAATGTGTTGGGTAGCAATGGCTGTGCACCTGGAACACCACCTGGGGGCTGAAAACAATTACAACATTACTATACCATCACTTCAGTTCTTATGGAGATGTACATGGTTGCTTATGCACGAGCTGTAAAGTGGGAGGAAGGAGAGCTAATAGAGAGTAAATACACAACCAAAACATCCCAAGTAGTCAGTCCTTCCTGATACATATCCTTCCAGTTTACAGCAATTTTCACAAGTGTGTGTGTGTATGCATGGAATATGCAAACCTAAAAGCCAATAGCTTTGCACAGAAAACTGAATAACAAAGTAACAATATAAAATATATATATATTACAGTAACAAAATGACCCCAACCCTACTCCAGTTTTCTTCTCTCTTCTCCAGAAAGTAGATTATTTCTGGCATATGGTACCATAAGCTACATGCCACTTTGCCAAAGTCATCTAGACAATGCGTTGCACAAGTTGGCTGTTTGAACTGTTGGGAAAATTACAAACCAATCCAATCCTGCACTCTTCTAATCTCAAAATAAACATTTTCCATTAGTTGGCATTGCATCGTAATTTGGCATAGGAATTCTTGCAGATTTTGTCCCTGCCTTGTGGAATCATTGGAATTTATAGCACAGGACACCATTTAGCCTCATCTAGAGTCTCAGTAGTCAATGGAACACTCACGCATCTCTTACTGCTTAGATTAATAATCAAGTAGTGACTGTGGAATTACGTACACCTCCCTGGTCCACAAGGCTCAACTCCACATTGAATTAGCTGGGGATCTGTCATAGCTTAATTCCAGTAGAAGAGAACAATGAAAATAAGCTCATGACAAAATGAAAAAAAGATTGGTCTTGGGTTTTTAAAAAAGAAAAGGCGGAGGATCAAAGATATTATTTGGAAATTGTGTTTAAAAAGAACAATGCATCACATGAACGATGTGTTAGATTACTGGGTGGCATGCATCTGATCCTAGAAGTTCTATAATTTAAAAGACTTAGGAGCAGAAATTAGGCTATTTAGTTCATCGAGTCTGCTCTACTATTCAATCATGGCTGTTAAGTTTCTCAACCGCATTTTCCCGCTTTCTCCCCATAACCCGTGATTCCCTTGACAATGAAGGACCTATCTATCTCCATCTTAAATATATTCAATGACCTGGCCTCCACAGCCTTCTGAGGCAGTGAATTCCATAGATTCACCACTCTCTGCCTGAAGAAGTTTCTCCTGATCTCCAATCTAAAAGGTCTTCCCTTTACTCTAAAGCTGCGCTCTCGGGTCCTTGTCTCTCCTACCAATGGAGAGATCTTCCCAACATCTGCTCTGTCCAGGCCATTTGGAATTCTGCAAGTTTCAATTAGATTCCCCCCTCATCCTCCTCAACTCCATCGAGCATAGACACAGAGTCCTCAAATGTTCCTCATACGTTAAGCTTTTCATTCCTGGGAACCTTCTCGTGAACCTCCTCTGAACCCACTCCAGGGCCAGTACACCCTTCCTGAGATATGGGGCCCAAAACTGCACACAACACTCCAAACGTGGCCTGACCAGAGCCTTTTAGAGCCTTCAAGGTACATCCCTGCTTTTATATTCGAGTCCTTTCAAAATAAATGCCAACATTGCATTTGCCTTCCTGACTACTGACTCAACATGCAAGTTTGAGAGAATCATGGACTAGAACTCCCATGTCTCTTTACGGATAAGACCCATTATCAAAAGAAATTTTTCTCCCAAAAAATGATTTGATTTCAAGCCACTGCAGATCCAAATAAACTTAAGGATTAGGAAATCTGGCCAAAATTATTATTTTGGCAGCACAGCAAATAGTGTATTAACGCAGAATCGTGAACTCGGCAATAATTCTGGTTGGGTGCACCTTGTACTAAATGCTTCAGAATATATATATTAAAGTAAGTACTTAAAAAAATTACATAAATAGATTTTTCTCCAAATTTGACAGCAAGATTTGCTCCGAAAAAGCTTAACATGTAAGCTTTGCACAATCACACACCAAAATAGTGAACTCTTCAGTTACAGTTTTCATTTCTGTTGCTACGACCCTATTAGTTTTACTGTGTACGCTAGTCACCAGAATATGCTCACTTGGGTGCAGTGCTGCATAGCAAAGTAATTCTCCTAATGAAGCAATACTCATGATACTACCTGGAGCCATTGAAGGCTCATCTCCGTTTCACACAGGAGAATTTCCACTCAGCATCTGCACAATGTTATGCATATTCTACACATGGCCAAACTAATTTCTGAATAGCAGACCAAACAAACTCAGCGTCACTGACTTCATATCCCGCTTTCCAGCTGAATTATTCCACTTTCTAAACGAGAACAAGGTGTTTTTAAAATTAGACATGGGCAACACTAATCTGATCTGGAATGGCTTGGCAATTGTCTGTTGTGGTCTGACTGAAATAGGACATATATATCATTCAGGCAATCCCACTGTATACCCAACAGTCCACAATATGCATGAGGACTGTGCTCCTAGAGATAGTCTGTGAACATTGCTACTGTAATGTGACAACTTAATTGATAGTAAACAGTTCTGGCAGCTTCAGATACCTTCGAGGAATAACCCCTGGTAATATCAAATTCACTTCATGTAGAAAAGACAGACTAGGCTTGTAGCTAATGTTATTTGATCCTTCCTGAAAGGAGTGTGGGGTGTCTGGCAATGATACGATAACTATTAACTAACATCGATTAAAGCAATAACAAATGAGTTTGGTACAACACAGGCAAATGAAAGCAGTGTTTCATTTGGTCGCAGGATGTTGGAAATAGAAGGACATTGCAAGGACTGTGCTCATTCTCTGGAAATTTAAGCTGCTAACTGATAAACAAGAGAAGCATCCCAAATTAAAAGGATGACAGAAAAGGAGAAAAACAACACCTCTACCATTAAGGCCAAGCAGC